GGATTCGAACCCGCCACCTTAGGTGTACGTGGCTGGCGCCTTAGCCGGTTGAGCTATAGGCGCCGAGTCAGAACATCTATTTTCTTGACGAAGAATAACATTGTGATTTTGATGACTGAACCCTGAAATTTCATCAACCAATTTTTAAAAAGCATTTTAATAGATAGGAAACCTCAGTCACACATTCTGACATCCTACCCCCTCTATGCCTAAGAACTAGAGAATAAAGTAACAAAAGCAACTCTCACCAGGACACTGTATTCCCAGATCATCCTCCAGAAGTCCAGGAGAGTTGAAGACAAAGGGCCCTGGGTGGCAATATAAGCCTTGGGTGCATAAACTCCCTAAAACAGAATAGAAATTGCATGGGGTAATTATCATTACCCTACAGATAATGCCCTCTTCTCACCTAGTTTCCCTCCAACCCCAGCCTTTTTTTTTGACTGGGGCTGGGTTTGAACCTGCCACCTCCAGCATATGGGGCTAGCGCCCTACCCTTTTGAGCCACAGGTGCCACCCCCCCCGGCCTTTTTTTTTAGGTTCCTAGAGAAATATGGAGTGTTTTTATTTCCTTTCAGTGTACCTTAATGAAGTTGGCATTGATGTAGTTGGAATCCTCATCAGAGGTTATCAGGGACAGCTCTACCCGGCTATAATCATCTACAATACAAAATAAAAGCATAGTGAAATTGAGAGGGGTTGGTCAGAGGGTTTACTGCTCAGTGAGGGTCTAACCCTGTGAACAATGGATGCTTAGACGTCAGCAGCTGAGTGAATGAATGCTCTGCTCTTTTGCAGTCATAAATAATGCAAACTAATTTTCCAATCCCCTGTTCTACAATTAAGAACAGTAAGCAATGGATTAAAAAGAGATAGTGGCGATTGAATTCGAGAGCAAGTATGAGTTTAGAGGGGAGAAATGGAACTTACAGGGCAAAATATCCTTATATCTGTTTTTCTTGATATTCTTGGGCCTCTCCGCCTCAGTGGTAGGATAGGTTTTGTCTGCCTTGTACTTGGTAGATTGCCTTTTCAGCTTCTGTAACAAAATTCCAAGAATAATTACTCCTCCTAGAGAAGGGAGGTAAGAATCTATTTCTACAGCACTTGGCTTTGTCACTGCCCAGTCTACAAGCCTTTTAGCATCCTCTGGGTCTGACTGAATTCAAGATGGAGCTCCAGCACATAAGGACAGCAGAGTTCAGTGACTTTTGGAGAAGTGAGAAGATCACACACACTGCAGCTGAACCACAAACAGCTAAAACTCAGAGGTGAAACTAGTGAATATTTTAAAAACCAAATATCTTCGGAAGGGAAGCTCTGTGCTCCACCCAGTAGGCAGGCATTAGAGGTTTGATTTACTTTCTTTATAGTTGCTATTTATATTTAGTTCAGTGATTAACAGGAAAGGTAAATGAATCTCTTCACTTCAGATGATTTTTTTTTCCCTAAGTGGAAATAAAACTTAAGTTGCATAAAATCTGTATCCAGCAAAATTTCAAAGATTTCAGTCCCAAACTTTAAACCCACCCCTCAACCAAACAATAATCTTTTTTCTTTTTCTTTTTCCTTTCTTTTTTTTTTTTTTTTTTTTTGAGACAGTCTTATTCTTTCACTCCAGGCTGGAGTGCTATGGTGTCATAGCTCACATCAGCCTCAAACTCTTGGGTTCTGGTGATCCTCTTGCCTTAGCCTCCCAAGTAGCTGAGACTACAGGTGTCCACGACAACACCTGGCTAATTTTTCTATTTTTTCAGTAGAGACGCTCTTGCTCATGCTGGTCTCCAACTCTTGAGCTCAAGTGATCCACCCACCTTGGCCTCCCAGAGTAGGATTATAGGTGTGCGCCACCAGGCCTGGCCCAAACAATAATCATTAAAGAGCATCATATTCTCTTTGTAGAATATGATCCTGGGCCAGGCAGGGGCTTACCACAGTAAGCTTTACTGTGGTTGAGCAAGATTCCTCACGATAGTGAAGTAACTCCTTAAAACTGTTTCCCTTTTCCAATACTATGCTGAGGACCAAAACTGAAGGTCGGAGGCAATGATAGTTCCTCTTAGGCTCTTTTTTAGGAACCAATCCTGTTCTAAACTTTTTTGACTAGATCTGACTTTTGTGAACCCTTACGCAGTTTGCAGAAGATGGAGGGAGGTGACAGCCATGATAATAAAAATATTGTTGCATTAAACTGAAGAAAATAATTTTCATCATCCCCCCCCCCCATTTAATGGTGTATGGTCACATGAGGAACCTTATTTGCCTCCAGGAGGGTAGATCCCTCGGTGTCGATTCGGTCTTCCTCTCTTTAACTTCCTCTTGAAATTTCCTCCTACCTTGGCCCTGACTAGTTGATGTTATCTCGGTTCTCCTCTTTCTTCCCTAACTTCTCCTTCTCACTTCCCACTCTCCCTGACCGGCTCCCTCCTCCTTTCTATCTTCTAATTGAGAAGCACCCAAAGTTCCAATGTTAATTCCTCAACTCTCTGCTTTTCTGTCAGTATATACAGAGATATCACATGCTACAGAAAGCATATAGAAAGCATACTATAGAAAGTGTTTGCCGACCTTTTTAACTCATCGAATTCAATTATATTTCCAGCCCCTATTGGATCAGTTTCAAATGTTTCTGTTGAGATTTGATTACTAAATTCTGGTCCTGAACTCCCAACCATGTCCTGAACATTTCCACTTGATTACGCCTTCAAACTCAGAACGTTTAAAACTAACATCAACCGTGTCTCCCCTGTAAACACCAGTGGAGAGAGTCACTTTGGGGTCCCCCTTCCCACAATTCCCACCACTGATTGAGTGAGCCAGTTCCTTTGATTCTTCCCATGCACTATCTTGCATTTGCCTTCCTTCCTTTGAAGGATATCCACAAACCAATATCTTAGTTCCGGGGGTGTCCAATCTGTGGCCCACGGGCCGCATGCAGAGTGTGTGAGGACCGTTCTGCTTATCTTTTGTGTCCAGTATCACAAGGGGTGTCCAATCTGTGGCCCACGGGCCGCATGCAGAGTGTGTGAGGACAGTTCTGCTTATCTTCGGTGTTCAATATCCCGAGAGGTATGCATGGACACTTTTTGCTGGTGTTCCTCGGCTCTTGTTAGTGTGTCTATGTTTAATGTGTGGTCCAAGACAACTCTTCCTCTTCCAATGGGCAGCAGAAAAGAGGAAAGATTGGCCACCCCGAGAAGCCTTTTCCCTTAAAGTTTGAACTACCACAGTTGCTTTTCTTTTTCCTTTGAGACAAAGTTTAGGGTTGAGTGCCATGACATCATCATAGCTCACAGCAACCTCAAACTCTTAGGCTCAAGGGATCCTCTGGCCCCAGCTTTCCAAGTATCTGGGACTACAGATGCCCACCACAACACCCACCTAGTTTTTCTATTTTTAGCAGAGACAGGGTCTCACTCTTGCACAGGCTGGTCTTGAACTCCTGAGCTTGAGCAACCCACCTGCCTCAGCCTCCCAGAGTGCAAGGATCACAGACATGAGCCCCTGCACCCGGCTTCTTAACTCATCTTCACACACTTCTTTTCTCCGTTCAGATCCATTGATCACTATCATGCCAGGTTAATTTTATTAAAGTACCACTTTCCTTATTTTTCCTGTACTCAGAACAACTTCAGTGAATCCCTTTTGCCTCTAGGGGAAAAAAATCCAAGCTCCTTAGCCAGGTACTGAAGGCTCTCCCGGGGTAGATTCCAAGCTCACTTTCATAAACTTCAGATGGCTCTCTAAGTGAGAGATCTCTAAAGATGACTTCTAGGTTCTTTCAAGACTATACAAATCGATATCACTGACAGCTCTGTAAATATGACTTCTTTAGAATTAGCATTTTCCTTTTCTTTCTCAGAAATGTACCATGATTTGAATGTACCAAGGCTTGAATTTTTAAGCCTTACTGATGGTCTATTTTGTTCCACAGGGTGAACTAATAAAGAGAGATAGGGAAATAGACGAAGATATTTTCTCAAGAGACCAGCAACAAGAAAACATTTTTTAAAAAGGGGATTACTAGTTATTATAACTTAGTTGCTGAAATGAAATTAGGATATGCAACTACCCATAGGAGTTTACTTAAGGAGACTTAAATAAACTCTCCCTTAAAAAGGGGTGAGGAGGCGGCTCGGCGCCTGTGGCTCAAGCGGCTAAGGCGCCAGCCACATACACCTAAGGTGGCGGGTTCGAATCCCTAGCCCAGGCCCGCCAAACAACAATGATGGCTGCAACCAAAAAATGGCCAGGCGCTGTGGTGGGCGCCTGTGGTCCCAGCTACTTGGGAGGCTGAGGCAGGAGACTCGCTTGAGCCCAGGAGTTGGAGGTTGCTATGAGCTGTGATGCCATGGCACTCTACCCAGGGGGATAGCTTGAGGCTCCATCTCAAAAAAAAAAAAAAAGTGGGGGGTGGGGAGCTGGGCAAGGTGGATTGCTTGAGCTCGGGAGTTCCAGACCAGTGTGAGCAAGAGAACCCATCTCCACTAAAAATAGAAAAACTAGTCAGGCATTGTGGCAGGTGTCTATAGTCTCAGCTCTTTGGGAGGCTGAGGCAAGAGGATCACTTGAGCCAGGGTTTGAGATTGCTGTGAGGTGTGACACCATGACACTCTACTCAGAGCTACAGAGTGAGACTCTGTCTCCAAAAAAGGGGCTGGGGATGAGGAAAAGGAAGCCTAAAATAAAGATGTGATAACATCAAGGGGAGAGAGAGAGAGAGACAGGGACAGAGAAAGAAGTAGTAGAGAAAAAAAATTGATTCAACAACTCATCCAGAAAACTGCAGCTGTAAGTGAAATAATGGGTAACAAGACCAATTTTTATTGATATAAACTACATTTTACTTCCCGCATCATATTTCTGGTCACAAAAACATTGCCAAACTTCTTAAATAAGGACCAAAGCACTTCTAATATTAAGTATTGAAATAAACGTGAGCTATACAAAACAAAAACACAAGGTTTCAAAATTGGCTCAGAATACATTGTTGAATGTGTGAGTCTGCAGAAAGAGGGAAAATGTTGAGATCATAAGATGTTTGTTAGCTGGAAGTTCATAATATAAACATTATGGCCCAGCACAGTGGCTCCAGCCTGTAATCCTAGCACTTTGGGAGGCTGAGGCCAGTGGATCACTTGAGCTCAAGAGTTCAAGACCAGGCAGAGCAAGAGCCAGACCCTGTCTCTACTAAAAATAGAAAAACTAGCAGGGTGCTATAGTAGATGCCTATAGTCCCAGCTACTTGGGAGGCTGAGGCAAGAGGATCGCTGGAGCCCAAGAGTTTGCTGTGAGCTATGATGCACAGCACTCTACCAGGGGCAAGAAAGTGAGACTCTGACTCAAAAAAAAAAAAAAAAAGAAGTATGTAAACTTTTTCCAACTAAGGATACCAAATAGAACAGACAGCCAATGCTTGCTTATTTGCCGGACCACAAATGCCAACATGTATTGTTACAATGACCATTTTTTTCTGTTTATCTAGAGTTCAATCAGACACAGGCAACCTTGAAGCAGGTACACAATCAGTTCTTCAATCTTCTTTTTAACCACACAGTACTCCCCTCTTATCTGCGGCTTTTCTTTCCATGGTTTCATTTACCCGTGGTCAACTGCAGTCCAAAAATATTACAGTATTTTGAGAGAAACCACATTCACATAACTTTTGTAACAATGTATTATTCTAATTGTTCTATTTTATTGTTACCTATTGTTGCTAAACTCTTCCTGTGGCTAATTTATAAATCAAACTTTACCATAGATATGTACATGTAGGGAAAAGCAACATAGTATCCGTGGGGTTTGGTACTATCCGCAGCTTCAGGGATCCACAGAGGTGTTGGAAATTATCCCCCACGAATAAAGGGGGACTCCTGTAGTTTGAATTCTTGTGGATTTTCAGAATTGGATAGGGAGAAGAGATGCTGACTGTCTGTCTGTACAGTGTGTTTTTACACCAAGATTTATACAAGGGGACTGGTTTGGGAATTACACCAAGGACATGACACAGGCACATGAGAGCCTATAAAGGGTTTCTAC